GGCTTCAACCACTGGTTGACTGGAAGGCATTTGGTTTCTTTTTACCTAAAATTTCAAGGCATGATGTTTTAAAAATTGAGCAAGAATACATGAAAATTGAAGACAGAAAGTTGGAATTATATTCAAAATGGTTGTCAGTCAATTCTAACGCAACATGGAGAGATGTAATTGATGCACTGACTAGCATAAAAGAGAATAAACTAGCTCAAGATATAAAAGATCTTACAGACAATGATGCTCTCTCTACAGGATCATCATTATCACCAAGAACACCAAAGTCAGATGGTAAGCTTACTTTTACAAAAAATAAGTATAAACCGTATAGCTGGTGGAATCAATTCTCATGTAGGCTCAAATCCACTTAAATTAATTTCAGTAAATTTTATCAATATTAATTAAATATATTTTGCAAGCTACAAAATTAATTCTAACAAAAATTTAAACGAGGCCAGGAAAAAAACCAGCTATATGGTAGTTACTTCATTCTGCCTGATGATGTTCTTACTTGTTATAGGCATTGCAATTATACTTTTTTCAAAAGAGCAATTAGTTCAATCCACTTTGAATGAATTACAAGCAAAATTTTCTCACATTATGAGGGAAGTAAAAACAGCTTTTCGTAAAAAAGTAAATGAAAATTCCCAATTGTCTACTGAGATGTCCAATTGGGTGGAGAGTTATCTTCACTGGGAGCCAGATACAAAAGATAATGATTTAAAAGATATTTTCAAGAAGATTTTTCACTATTATGATTTTATTGACTGTAGTCTGGTAGTTGCTATGTGTAACGAGTTTATAAGTGATAAAAAAGACCTACTCGATGAACTGAATACATATTCAATAAATGCTGAAGCATTTCGTTTATCAGAGCCAATTACTGAACTCAAACAAAATCTACGTAAAGTGTATGGACCTTATAGAAGACAGTTGGAGAATATGCCATTGATATGCATTGAACTTGAAAATCCTTGGAATGATGTCAAAATCAATGGATTATATATTTTAATTAAAAGATTGCTTCCTAAAGAGCTTAGACAATCAGTAATGAAATGCATCACTGTTGACCCGGGATCTGTTGTTATCAAGATACAAATTCTTAATTCTACAGCTGATAATATAATAAAATATACCAAAGGAAAGTTAGAGTTTATACATCTCATTGGTATATTTAGTTTATACATTGATCATCATTGTGTTCTTCATGAAGATGAGAATATGAACTTCACCTTTGAACTAGCTCTCCTTGAGGCAGTCACAGTTGGTAATAATGAAGCAGTGAAGTTTCTTCTTCAACTAGAAACTGTTAATATCAATCATGCTAGTGAAGAGGGCAAGATAGCACTAATGCTAGCTTGTAAAGGAGGATGTGAGGACATTGTACACAGTTTACTGTCTGCTGGAGCTAATGTTAACACTAAGGACAATAAAGGATGGACTGCACTAATGATAGCAAGTGCATATAATCACATTTCAATCATTCACATGTTACTAGAAGCTAATGCTAATCCTCATCTGAAGAAATCAAATGGATCAAATGCTCTAATGATTGCTGCTTATAATGGTAACTATGAGGTTGTTAAGTTTTTGATTAGTAAAGGAG